AACATAAAATATCCTTGAGAAATAAATGTCTCCGGTTAAAGATCGATGCATTTCGCTGAATATTTGTCAAAGTTGGATCATGAATGAATTATGGGAGGAATGTGTATTTGAAAAATAATAAATATTTTTTATGTGGGAAAATTCCGTGTAAAAGGCGTGTTTTGGAAATGAGCGAATAAGTAAAAAGGAAAGAGCACTTTGCAGGGATAAGCGTCAAAAAGTATTTATTGAAAGTGTTTTGGTGAAACGAATTAACGAGGTTAGGGTTAGGGATAGGGTTATGGGCAGAGAGAAAAAGTACGAAATTGGATAAAAAGAAAAATGAGATTTAGATGGTGGAAAGAAGAAAGTTATGAGGAATGGAGTGGAACGTGCTGGAATTGGGAATTGAAGAAGAATATTGGAAAATCGAAGAGGTTTGTAGAATGAAGAGAAAGAGATTAGAGGTAAAAGAAGTATTCAGGAGACGATTATAATTGCTGAAAGTGAAGGATTTGGCGGGGAAGTGAAAAAAGAATGGATGAAGAAGGGAAAGAAGGAAGAAAAATAGAGAAAGCGAAAATTAATGAAATAAAAAATAGAAAGATATAACCAAAAACAAGAAGATTGTATGTGGAGAAACATGTGAATAAAAAAAAGAATGAAACGTTGACATTAAGAAAGAAAGAAAAAAAAAAGAAAGAAAGAAAGAAAGAAAGAAAAAAAGAAAGAAAGAAAGGGTTATATGTAAAAATGAAGTCGGATAAGAATCAAGAAAGAAAGAGAGAAAAGAAAATGAATAGGAAAGATACAGAAAAATGAGAGGAAAGGTTCGAAAGCAAGCAGTAGAAGCTGACGAGGAATGCTCTGTGTGAATGTAAAAGCAATGCGTCTTGTGAAATAGGTAAAGAGCTCTTGGCGCCCCGAGCTCCAATATTGCGGTAAAGCCGACACGCTGCTGCGATTGGAGATGGAAGAATCTTGGCGATGGGACGACACTCACGGAAAATCAATCAATACTCGTGTGCCTTGAGGCTTGTGAGCAAGCGACAAGGCACCGAAACGCGTTCGTTCGTCGGCTTAGAATTCCCGGAGCTGGTATTGAGGAAAAGGAACTGCACTTGTTGGTGGATGACGGTGGTGGCGTTATGTACCGGCGGCAAAAAGTAGCTGAACCAGTCAACTGTCTGCGTTGGCCGTTCTCTGAGCATGCGCACCAGCGGTAAAGCTTCTGGGATAACGGTTGCTGAAATTATGGAACAAATATATGCAGACTGATGTCCATATGACGCTGACATAAAAACACGCACACAAACGCATACACATTATCAACAAATTGATGATATTTGGAGTTAAATTCATCATTTAATGTCATTATCTTTCTCTTTCATATTATGTGGGAATGTGTGACATTTGGGCAATTCTTATCAAATGTTTATATTTTATTTGTGTGTGTGTGTGTGTGTACATAGAAATCAACACTGCATAATGATTGTCAATTTTGATAAACTCTAACTTATTTACACGGACTATGCTTCTAAAATCTTTCTCCCCTATTGAACATTAATTCATTATAAATATAGCAAATTTTAAAGGTTATATATATATATATATATATATATATATATATATATATATATATATATATATATATATATATTATGCAAATAAAAAGGCAAGACCAAATTTACCGTTCATGATTAAAAAAAAACACTCGACCGGTATCGCCCTTACTCAACAGAGCTGGAATCGAGGGAATAAATATTACAATATAAAATATAACATACATGTAATGCATTAAATGCGGAATAATTAGATTGAAATAACATCAGCTCTGTTGAGTAAGGGCGAAATAAATGGATACTGAAGTCAATACCCAGTCACAACAGTCGGTTTCATGCTTAAAAGCAATCTTTAGGTATTTCACCACTGTTATATATTTTATTTATCCTTCTGTAAATAGTAATCCCTAATCATTCTAAGGTTTTCATTTATTTATTTACATTGTCTCTAGTATAACGGAAGCTGCAAGAGGTAAACAAAAAAACATTGAAGTAGAATTAATATAACTGATATAATATCAGTACTGGACGTAGTGAGGAGATACAACGCAATAGTAACAGATTGGGTGTTGTAATAGAAAAGATGACAGCCTCAGAAGATAAGTGTAATATATGTCAGTATTTCAATACCGGAAGAAATCAGCAGATCATAAGTCAGCTATAGAAGCTTGATACAAATTAATTCAAACTGCATCGGGAAATTAGCTTAATTATCCTCATAGTTAAGGTCATTGTTAAATTTCTAATTGATAGTTACTAGCAAAATTCGACCGGAAATAGGAACAGAACAGCGTCGCTTTGTTCCTGATACCGGAACAAGAAATGTAGAAAAATGATTCATCTTTCATAAATTACGCAAAGTCATTTGATAAAGTATAACAGTAAAAGCCACTCCAAATATTAAAAAAACTTTATTTAGATATTCGATTGTTCCGTGCTAGCAATAGATACCATATATGGATAAAGAAGTGAATAGACAAAAATAACCAGAGGCGTACCAAAAAGATACGTTTTCTAACAGGATTTATTTGATCTGTACCGCAAGATGTTGCGAAGAGAATTAGAAATCCACTCATGATATTGACGTAAAATATCCCTGTAACATTAGATACAAGGTGTCACTGTTGGTCGCAGCATCAGGAAGAAAAGAACTATTATAAAAAGTTTACCAAGAAAAGCAAGAAGAAAGAACTATGGAGTAATTTTAAGAAGGCAGAATGTGTATGGTTGTCAGAAAAGAAATCGCTGAAAGTGAAAACTACATCAAAATAAAAGAACTACAGAAATGTTAAAATCTGGAGAGGTACTGTTACATTTTCAAACAGGAACTTACAAATAGCAACATCAAAAGAGGAAAAGAAATGTAATTATAGATAATTATTGCCTAAAATATTAAAGTCAACAAAAAATAAGGATAACTTTATTTACATTTGGACTAATGTTCTTATCTTTGTTGGTCTTATCACAACGTTTCGGTTATTGTAGCTAAACATGGACAGAAGAACGAGAACAATCTATCCCCGTTGATTAAATAAAGTGTTCTGTTCGAGATTCCCTAAAGGTTATCCAAATCGATAAGCAACTGAAGAAAGTGCGCAACGTCGGAAGACGCTGTGACTTAAACGTTGTGATAATGACAAGAAAAATGAAGACATTAACCTGAATATAAATTTATACATAATGGTAAATTCGCACAGAATGGATAACATTTTCTATCTTCATTAAATACTTTTATACAGAATTTCTTGAAACAATAAACTTCTGACTATTTTACGATTTTTATTATTTGCTACAAAATGATTCATTTTTTTTATTTCTTTTCCTTAATATCTTGCATCAGAAATATTTCTACATTTTCTTACAATTTTCAATAAATTGTGATCATGTATGTACAAAAATCATTTCACAGAATGTCCTGCTAATTAGGGTTTAGCAGAAATACAGATCAGACAAATTTTAAATTTTAAATGTCGTTATTATTTGGCTATAGTGTAGGTCCCCCTGATTAATTTATTTGCAAATAACTGTAAAATAAATTCTCTAAATGGAAAATAATAACCGCCTTAGAAATAATTTAAGCACAAATTATGAAAAGGGTTTTGAAACTGTAAACTTTTTGTCCTCCCGTTTTTCTTATATATATATATATATATATATATATATATATATATATATATATATATATATATATATGTATCAGAATAAAAATATCCATAACAATAATAATTTTTGAAGCAGGTATGATTAAAATTAAAGATCAGGGTTAACAACTGGTCTCTCCAATATATTGTGGAAATGTATCGAAACGAAGAAAAAAAAGTATCTATAAACACAAAAAGATCCTATACACAACAGTTTATTAAGTGCATTAAAAAAATCAATCTCAACTTTGATCTAAAGAATGCTACACTCATTGAAAGAGAAAGTAAAGTACTTAGACGTAACATTCTTGAGTGCAGCTATCGAATCTTACAACAATATAAATCGGCGCCCCGGATTTTTTCAAATATCTCATTTCCTTAAGCAAATACCCGTTTCACAAAACAACATACATGACTATAAAAAAAATGAACAATAAAAGAAAGCGATTAAATTCATAACATTCTATTATTTAAAATATTTATTTTTAATACATAAATTAATCCAAAACTAATAAAAATAATAATTAGAATATTAATGAAAATAAAAAACAAGATCATTAACTCACTTTTGTTTATTATACATTAAATTACATCTCTTAGCCTCCTCCATAATTTCCTTGACTTTTTAGGTAGCCTGGTCGCAAAATAGAATCCTTATATTTACCTTGATGAAGTCCATCAGAGGACGAAATGCATCCCGGTGAACGACCACAACGAAAAGTTTCATACGTTTTCACGCTAGTCGGAAACTGTTAGCCGATTTGTACATACATGCACTCACCAATAAAATTCACTGCCAAGATGGAAATGCCGAATAATCACCAATATTTGAGGAAAACAATACTAGAAGATCAAAAGCGCGCCTAGAAAGTGATCGATAAATAGTATAACTTCATCAAAAAAGCATAACGACAAAAACAAAAGTAGTGCTCCTTAAAGTCCCTCATATCAAAGCATATAATTTAAATAGAATACAAAGTAAACAACTTCTAAGTGAGTATGCGACAAAGGTAAACTTTAGAAAAAAAAACTCATTGCCATATTAAATAGTTTTGAGTGATCTGTGTTTTACGACTTATCAAACTTTTGCAGATTATTTAAAACCGGAAAATATTATAGATTCTAAGAATTATTTTGTGACAGTAATGATTTAGTAATACAAGTCTTACGAAAATAACACATAGCTAGAAGGAGAATTGATGGATTCATACGCGTTTCCCGAAGATATTTGCACGTAAGTGAATATAATGAAACCGACTGAAACTGAAACTCAGCTCTTTGGTTAACAGTTTCGAATCTTAAGCCTGCACATCCAAGTTTACAGCATCTGGTATTTCCAAGTAGTCACCCATCTAGGTACTGACCGGCGTTGCTTAATTTCGGTGATCGTACGGGAACCGGTCTTTCGACGTGATATAGCCGTAAAGTCCAATGAAACCAACTTCAACGAAGCCAAAAAAGATTTTAAAACAACCTTAAAAGACAGTGGATTTCGGCAACTATCACATATTCACAATACTCAGCAAAGAAAAAAAAAATAAATAAAAATAAAATAAATAAAGTTAACAGGAAAAGAAACATCATATGGTTTAACCCATCTTACAACAAAAACGTAAAATTAGTGGAGATACTTAAATTGAATATATGAATATTTTTCCAATTTTTGTTTTAAACGTAGGAAAAATATTCATATATTCAATAAGGTATCTCCACTAATTCGTCGGAAAAGAGCATACTATGATGAAAAAGGCACCAAACTTGATGAGAAAATAATGTCTAAATGTTTATGTTATTAAGAGGAGAAAGGGAAATAATTTTTATTATTTTTTGTCATCCTTTTTAGAACACTCGAAATTTTGATTTAAAATCTTGTTTTTCTTACGTCAGCCAAATACCATTAAGAACCACGGCAACTTGTTTTGAGGTGTTAACTGACTGTTAAATCGATGTATTGACAGCTTTGGTCAGGGGAAGTTATCGGACGTAAGTACAGAAGAGACATATTCTTATTTAACTAAACAGTAATTTATAAAAATTAACAAATATTTTCAGAAATCCAATATTTTATTGACTTTATTTTCATTTTTTAGGTACTTTAGTTTTATAGTATTACGTTTGAAGATGATATCTTGAAAAATAAAATTTAAACTATTAGCAATAAAATAAATTTAAAATTCCATAACTGAGAGTGACATAAAATTCCATAAGAGAGGTACCTAATTTTTACGCACATTAGGAAATTTTATGGTATCATTTTTATTAATTATTAGTTTTTATAACTCGGTAATATAAAAAATAATAATTAAAAATAGCAAATAAAATTTCATAATAATAATAATAACCTCTCTCTTTTTTATGAAATGTTATTTTTTAATTTTTCTTATTTTTAATATTAATTGTTATGGTCTAACAGTTATAAAAATGCGATTTTTAATCAATTATATAATCACTTAAACTTTTTATTTTATTTAATCATAGTCCACTAAAAATAGTGTAACAATAAAATCAACTGCTATGAAATTGATTTCACACTTTCATGAAAATAGGGAGGGTCTTTTTTGAAAATATTCTAACGAACATATGTCCAAATCTTGAGTCACAGTTTCCCTAAAATGATTATTTCTATCACGCACTCACTCACACACACGCGCACACACACACACACATATATATATATATATATACATATATATATATGTGTGTGTGTGTGTGTGTGTGTCAACAAAAATTGAGACTCTCCTCGATAGCGATAATATTTACGAAAAATAAACGATCACAAAGTTATAAAAGCGACACAAAAAACTTAAGAACGAAACCAAGAAATTATTAAAAATTGAAGACAGTTTCAAGATAAATTCATCAAACAGCATCCGAATACATCAACCCTATACGGATTACCAAAAATACATAAACCGGACATCTGAATGAGAGACCATTATATCAGGAATCGGCAGCAGTCCGCATAAACTAGCAATCTAACCAAAATTGTAACCACCTCCTTTATAAAATTAGTACCTCGCATAAAAAAATTAAAAACATTATCTTTTAAAATTAAATTAAAAAGCATGAAGCAAAATTATATATACGACTAATTTAGACGCAAAATATACACAAATGTTCCTGTGAAGAAATATCTAAATTTACTAAAAATACCTAAACAAAAAGAAAATTACCTATTCCTACCCATAAAATCATAATTTTTTCACCTTTGATAATTTTTATAGACACAATAAGCCTTACTTATGGTGCCTCCTCTTAGTGGCGTTTTGGCTTGTCTATTTTTGGAATTTCTGGAAAGGGGTTCATTCAAATATATTTTACTACAAAATTCTTCTTATTTCAAATACATAGAGGATTCTCTTTTAATATAACCATAAAATATAATTTTAAAATTTTTTGTTAAGAAACGGAATAGCGTCGATGCCACAATAGATTTTATCTTTGAATCGGAATCTACCCATCCTAGATATCATGCAGTATAGAAATAATAAGGAACTTCAGTTGGAGGTTTAAAGAAAATCTACAGCAAAAATGTCAAATCTGGAATAATTATATAATTCTATTTAAGAGCACAAAGAATCTGAAGCCTACAATATTTACCTAAAGAAGAAATATACATAGAAAAAACATTCAAAACCCTCCAATATTCTTATTATTTCATCCCCAATGCTAAGAGACAAGCAAAATATATACCCACAAAAAAGACAATACCATTATTAACAACAATAACAATGACAATAAACTAGATAAAAACAAACATATAATACTACATGCTAACAACGTACAATCCACTATCCAAAACAATTTACTCAGTATTAAGAACAATTAATTGCAACCACATACATGATATGATAGGACCCAAAAATATCCATAAAAAATACTGAAGCAGAATTGCTCCTTACAATACATTGGGAAAACTTACAGAAATATGAACGCAAAAGGGATCTCATATACAACAATTTATCAAATGCATTAGTTATACATAGAAATAAATTCAACTCCAACTTTGATCTAAAGAATGTCACCCTTATTAAAAGAGAAAGTAACTTAGACGGAAATTTCACGAGAGTGTTGCTATCGAATTGTAACAAAATATAAATCTGCGTCCCAAATTTTTTGCTATATCTCCATTCCTAAAAGAATTCCTACTCTTCCAAGACAAAAGACACGATTATAAAAATGTTCGAACATTTAAAAACAGTTAGATTTATAACCTCGTGTTATTTAAAATATATAACATATAAATTAATTTTAAACTAAAATAATTTAAATATTAATTTGCATTAGAATTTCAAGAACATCTTTTACTCATTTTCGATTATTAGACATTAAATTATGTCCTCCATAACATACCTAGGACTTTCATTTAACCTGGTGAATATTTATGAGCGTTTCTTAATTTTCACAATTTGAAACACTAACAACATTTATGTTCATGTCTATAATTACTTGTTTCAAAATCAAATCCTTACATTTCTCACGATAAAGTCACCCAGAGGTCGTAACGCGTCTGCTAAGATAAGCCTTCCTTTTCTCTGTATTCATATCTCTGTGATAAATATATATATATATATATATATATATATATATATAACACTCCAGATTATGTCCAAGATAGTTTAATAGTCCCCTTTCACTTTGTCAGTTGGGGAATTGGAGACGGAAGAAGAAAATGCAAATTAAACCAATGCGTTTTATACCTGAGATAATCGATAAACCCTCACCAGCACAAATATAAACCGTTAAGATGAAGAGACTCGTCCGAATATATTCGAATAAAAAGACTTTTCGCTTTAGAAGAGACAATAAAAAAATATATATTTATTTGTAAAAAATAACTATATTTTATTTTGTTTCGATTATTATTAACAGCTGACCGAAATATTTCCTGTTTAAGTTGTCCATGAATTCTGGCTGATCAATAATCGGACTTATAGTCAGAATTAGATGACAAACAGAAAATATGAGGCAATGATGTCATAGGGCTTTTTTTTCTGTGCGCAAGACATTCGTCATGAAAAAGTCACACACAATATTTGACGTTTGAAATGAAGATAAATTCGAAGTCTTTGAATGCTGAAGCGATAAATCTTATCACCCAATATTTTAACTTCGAATATTTTTTATGAATTCACGGCTATCTGTAGGATTTGTCTGTAAAGTTTATTTACTCTATACTTTCTCATGTGACTAGTTAAATAAATTGATGGAAAGATACGACATTCTTCCACGTGATAGATATAGATTTTACAAATACACGTGGGTACTGATTTATGAAGTTTCACAGTGAATAAATACTACACTTGCCATGAACATTTCATGTTTACTTGGGTTAGAAATCTGATTACTGGTGACCTTTTAGAAATAATTAACAGATTATAACGCCTTCAAAACTAAACTGATCTCTTAATCAACTTTCTATCAATATGTCTGATGCTAACCTACAAGATAGTAACCTCTCAGTGTTCTCTCAGTCTCATATTGTCCACTGGCATGAAGTGAAACGATTATATTGAATTAATTGCTAGATTTTCTGCGAGAAAAGATTGTTTATGGTTTCGTGCTAGACCATTTTTCTTTCCATCAACTATTTTGCACATTTATAAGTCTACCATTCTTTCGTGCATAGAATATTGCGGACACATTTGGTTTGGTGTTTCTACTATATATCAACAGACAAGGCCAAACAAGAATCTGCAACGTTATCGGCCCTAACCTGGCATCTCGGGTCTTAATTAATACAAAACTAAATAATAAGATAAAACTTGAAAGAGGAATTTACCCGATCACTTGTAATAATTGCCACATGGAATAACTACGAGAAAACTCGTGGATTTTGAATAAAAGATTATATAAACAACACAGCGATGTTTGAACAAAAGAATACACTTAGTGCATTAGTTTCTCACCGTAATGAGTGTGGCTATAATTTCATGTTAAAATACGTTACTTTGATTAAAAGAGAAAGCAATTTATTAAGACGAAAGTGTACAGGAAATGTTTAATTACGACGTCGTCCACACTAAATTAGCATCAAGATTCTTATGACATTTCACCTTTCTTCTATTATCGAAATGAAGGATACTTAATAATATAAGTGATAAAAATATTAACAAAGAGGAATCTAGTTTGAATCGACTGTATTATATATCCAAACACATATTTGAAAAAAATTGTTTAAATATTCAGCCTCCGCTCTCTTTCTGTGAATTGGTATTTGTATCAACTTAAATACCTCTTGTTTGACGAAGTCCTAAAAGAAGAAACAGGTCTCACTAAAAAGATTTTTCTACTTTGTCATTACTTTTCCTAACATTTTCTTGGTATATAAAAATTTATCATTTTTCCTGGTATATATATATATATATATATATATATATATATATATATATATATATATATATATATATATATAGCGGAGAGTG